TTACGGCTGGGCTTCCATCTTAGCAGGTGTAGAGGTTATTAAAAAGGGTACTAGATTTATAGTTGGCAATGGTGAGAGTATCCGTATAAATAAAGATAATATAACATTAGATCACCTCCCAAAACCAGTGTTTAGTATTAATCCAGATTCGAGGCTTTACTTGAAAGACTTGATTTCGGTTCATGGGGATTATCGGTACTGGAATTTTGATAAAATCTCGTCACTGATTCGGGCTGAGGACCACTCTTTTTTTCAACATACCTACCTTTCACAACAAGTAACTCATGACCGTATTGTTTGGCATTACAATACCTCAGGTGACTACTCTGTCCGGTCTGGATATTGGTTACTTATGAATGACCCTCAAACTTTAGTCCATCGACCACCTCTTCCCCACGGATCCACTGATTTAAAAAACAAGATTTGGAAATTGGGAATTTTACCTAAGCTCAAACATTTCTTGTGGCGAATAGTAACAAGATCTCTGGCGACAATAACAAGACTTAACTCGAGAGGGATGAACATTGATCCTGTATGTCCTCGTTGCTTTAGAGCGGATGAAACAATAAACCATCTTTTTTTCACTTGTCCTTATGTTAAGAAAATATGGGAACTTTCTCAAATTTCTCTTCACAATCTTTCTTGTCCTTCATCAAATAGTGAACAAAATATTCAAAGTATTATTGATTTCCAGCAATCTTCCTTTTCTAAACATGAAAAATTACTACCATTGTGGTTACTTTGGCACATTTGGAAGTCAAGAAATAATTATATTTTTGAAGAGGTTTGGGAACCACAATACTTGGTCTTACACAAAACAAAATTGGATGTTCAAGCTTGGTTGGATTGTTCTGTTATAGAAAATGATACTAACATTACAGAGACTTCAACATTACACCAACGATTGTGGACAAGGCCTCCGATTGATATGTTGAAATGTAATTTTGATGCGGCTTTCAATGGTACTTCAAAACGAACTTCAGGAGGCTGGATTCTACGCAACTCGGATGGTGCTTCACTAGGCTGGGGTGCTTCACAACTTGTAACATCAAATTCACCTTTAGAAGCAGAAGCAAAAGCATTATTGGCAGCAATCCAACAAGTTTGGATTAGGGGTGTTAAGCATGTGTACTTCGAAGGAGACAGTGAACTTTTGATTAAAATGTTACAAAGACAACACCATAATATTACTATTGAAGCTGTTTTCCATGATATTATTGCTTGGTCCAAAAAATTTACTTCTATTTCCTTTCTTTTTTGTAAAAGAGATTGTAATAAAGTCGCTCATCTTCTGGCCTCTCATGGTTCTAATTTTTTTATTTTTTATTCTGATTTCTTGTATCCGCCTTCATGGCTAAGAAACCAATTGTATTATGATTTTTACAATTATTCAATATAATTTTATTGACGAAAAAAAAAAAAAACTAATTTGAAATGTGATTCATTTTTAAATCATAAAGTTTGGGTCCGACTTTGATGGAAAAAAAAAAGAAAGGAAAAAAGGATAACACAAAACCTCTCTCTCCCTCTCGTCTTCCAAAATCAACCACATTGACTTCTCTTTGTACAAGGGTCTGGTCACTCATGGCCATCCTCACTCTTTCTCTTCCTCTTATCGTCTCTTTCCTTCGCCCTCACGCTTCTCCTCGCTTCTTCCTCCTCCCTCGCTCCCTTTCTCATCCCCCTTTCCTCTCCCGCCGCCGATTTCACCGCACTGCCGCCGTTTCCTCCGCCTCTGTTCATCACCAGTCCTATCGTAATCCCAGCGATGATGATTCCACCCGCGCGGTCTCTGTTCCTACATTCCAACAGGCGATTCAGCGCCTCCAGGTTCGATTCTCCTTCATTCTCTCACATTCTCTACTTCCAAATTTGAATTGATCTAACTGAGAAAGTTTCAGGAATATTGGGCTTCCGTCGGATGCGCCGTTATGCAACCTAGCAACACTGAGGTCGGAGCTGGCACCATGAATCCTTGTACCTTTTTGAGGGTTCTTGGTCCTGAACCTTGGAATGTTGCCTATGTTGAGCCAAGCATACGTCCTGACGATTCTCGCTATGGAGAGAACCCCAATAGGCTTCAAAGACACACTCAATTTCAGGTCATTTTGAAACCTGACCCTGGAAACTCTCAACAGCTCTTTATCAACAGTCTCTCTGCTTTAGGTACTCATAACTTACTCTCTCCTTTATTTCTGAACAATGCCTTCTCTTATGTTTCCACTTACATGTTTGAAACACAAGTGCATTAGATTGATTGGATATTTCTCCTTGTGCTGGTTCCCGTTGGTGATTTTGTTGTGGACTCAATTTTGATTTTGCTCAAAGCTCTGCTTCCGAGGAAACTTCTCTCATCCAGATAATATTTTCCTTACAATTAGTATGTGTTCTTTATAGGTATTGATGTGGCTGCACACGATATACGGTTTGTAGAAGACAACTGGGAGAGCCCGGTAATGTGTGATTCCATGTTTTTATGGGGGTTTCCATCTCTTTTAGTATTTCAATATATTCTCAGCTTGGCAGTGTCTGTTTTCAGGTGCTTGGTGCTTGGGGTCTGGGCTGGGAGATTTGGATGGATGGTATGGAAATCACACAATTTACTTACTTCCAGCAGGTAATTTCATTTTATGTAAACGTTTCTAAATTGAACTGTAGGGTACAGTTTGCATATTTGTTTTTTTTAGGGTGAATTTTATCTTTTGTTCTCTAGTAAATTTTCTGCCTCGGTTGTTAAAAAACAACATGATTGTGAAGTTTGCTTCTTTCTAGGCTGGAAGTCTTCCGTTGTCTCCAGTATCTGTTGAAATAACTTATGGGCTTGAGCGCATCATCATGTTGCTTCAAGTTAGTATTATATTCCCTTATTGTTGATGTACGCATTTTGGATATAGGTCCTTTTTGTTTGGCGTAAGTTAACCTGTTCATTGAATTTCAACTGACAGGAAGTTGATCATTTCAAAAAGATCTTATATGCTGATGGTATCACCTATGGGGAGCTTTTCTTGGAAAACGAGTAAAAGACTGATATTCTTTTATGGATGTTTCATCATACATTATCAAAATTATTCTGTGTTAGTTGTGTTTTTAGATTGATTTACGGGAGAATTTTGCAGAAAGGAAATGAGCTCATATTATTTAGAGCATGCTAGCGTGGATCGCCTTCAAAAGCATTTCGACTTTTTTGACGAAGAAGCACGTTCCTTGCTTGCCTTAGGACTTCCAATCCCTGCGTATGTTTATCACATGCTTATGATCCTCCCTTTTTTCTCCATATTAACAACCGTCTCTTGAATTTAACAAATTGCTGCTTGGGGCATGCTAGGTATGACCAGCTTCTGAAGACGTCTCACGCTTTTAACATTTTAGACGCTAGAGGTTTCATTGGCGTAACTGAACGTGCTCGTTATTTTGGTCGAATGCGCAGGTATGATCTGTTCCAGTTTTTGTTTTCCCTAAAGTTTATTATTGAGCAACCAAGCTTGATTAACCCGAAGAGGAAATGCTTTTAAACATATTGTTACTTGTAAAAAATATATTTGACATGTACATTTTTTTGCTTCTCTGCATCCTCTTTGAAATAATAGCTTGGCTCGCCAATGTGCCCAACTGTGGTTGAAGACACGTGAGTCTCTTGGACATCCTCTTGGTGTTGTCTCTGAACCAGTTCCTCCTATTTGTCACAGAGAGGCTTTGGAAAAAGTGGCTAAAAAGGTTGGGTTGTTTTCTAATTAGAGAATATACAATTGGAGCTTTGCTGCTGATTATTTCCTTTTGTTGAGTTGCAAAGCCGGCTTCTTTGATAGACGAAAATATTTATGAAAATGTCAAATGAGATGTTTCCTTTTTTCTTGTTTATGTGGTGTTCAATTGTCACAGGTACCTGAGGATCCAAGATCGTTTATTATTGAGATAGGGACTGAAGAGATGCCACCTCAAGATGTTACCAACGCTAGTGAACAAGTAAAATTACATTTCATTTGGAGAAACTTGACATTTCCTTCTCTATCACTCACTCATGGACACTTGTGAGCTGCTCGGTCATGCTACAATAGTCCCTAGATTGTTTGTTCATGTGCTTCTTGTTTTTTCTTTTGTGCTGTGTTCTTTTGATAGATTGGATGTCAAGTAACAGTCCTTTTTAATATTGCAGCTCCGGGTCTTAGTACTAGAATTACTAGAGAGTCAACGATTGGTGCATGGTGCTGTGAAAGCCTTTGGCACACCCCGCAGGCTAGTGGTAATGATAAGATCTTTTCACATTTACATATATTGTTTCTTAATTGATGCCAATTCTACAAAAGCATGAATCCAATCTTACAGAGAGAGGATTGGCGGACATATCTTCCTATATGTTCTTTAGCATTTTTGTAAATTTTTCTTAATATTCGCTTATGAGGCTTATTTGAAGCTGGCTTTTTATGTGAGGATGTAAACGTAAACAATTAATTTGACGTAATTGAAGGTTTTGGGTTTTTGAAGGGAATCATGGAACCGTTGAAGCTTTTTGGATTTATTCTTCTTCTTCTTTTTCTTTTAAGCAGTTTTAAGTGAAGTCCCTTTTTCAGGTTTTAGTTGATGCTATGTCCTCTAAGCAGCTGGAAGAAGAGGTTGAAGTTCGAGGACCCCCTGCTTCCAAAGCTTTTGATGATGAAGGAAAGCCTACGAAGGTTATTTTGTTTCCCTTTGGTCCTTTTGATCAAGGATATTAAAATTAACTACGTATTTAAGTATTTTGGTAGAAAGTGGTGGAAATTATGGAAATAGTATCTGGTTCATTAATCCATTGCGCCTTAGGTTTTGTGCTATGTTTGCTTTCTTCTTTGTAACTACTACCTAAAGATATGTGGATATAAATTTTCTCTTTGTTCTTCCCTCCCAGGCTGCAGATGGTTTTAGCCGTAGATATGGCGTTCCATTGGAAAAGTTGTACAGAAAAGTTTCTGGTGGGTGCATCCATGTTAGCAAATTCTAACTGCTTCATTGTTCTTTCTCTCGTAGGCTGTGATTCTGCTTTTTCTTTTTGTTTAGTTCTTTTCATTTTTATCCTCTTTTGTTTTGTATTTCTTTCAGGAAAGACAGAATATGTCCATGCACTAGTTACAGAGCCAGCTCGACTTGCTTTGGAGGTTCTTTTTACTCTTTTTCTTATGCTAAGGCAATGCTATATTTATCTTTCATGAAAGACATAGTATATCCATTAACTTAGTATATTATTGATGCTCACAATTTGCCTCTTTCTTTTCATATGGTGTACCTCATATTTTTTAGTGTCCTAAGTCCTCTATTTGCTAAGCATACATTTTCTTTCTGGGATCCTGTCTATTATAGGTTCTGTCAGAAGATTTACCTGCTATACTGGCTAAAATATCGTTCCCAAAGTCGATGCGCTGGAACTCTTCAGTATGTAACTTTTATCTATGTACGCTTACTAATGTTTACATTTGACTAGGTTCAGCTGTAAAAAATGGAGTTTATATTACTGCTATTGATCTTGTGCTGTGATATGCAGGTAATGTTTAGCAGACCAATTCGCTGGGTTATGGCCTTACATGGGGATCTGGTTGTGCCGTTCTCCTTTGCTGGCATCACTAGGTACATTTACTTGGCTACTCTTGCTTTTCCATGCTTTCTATGGCTTCAGTTGGCACAAATTTTCCTCTTACATTCACAAGATATGCATATATTTTTAGATAAAATAACTATCTGTTTCATCTTCAAAATGCAGTGGAAATGTATCTTGTGGACTTCGCAATACTGCTTCAGCATCCCTATTGGTAAGAATGTACCCTGCATTGTCGTCGATAAACATATTTGGATGTCATGCTTCAGATGTGTGTTTTCTGGTCTTCTAAATATTGGCAGGTACAGAATGCAGAATCCTATGAAGATACTATGAGGAATTCTGGAATCAATATCGAGATTGAGGCATGTCGTTCTTATATTCTTCTCTATCCATTATTTAATTATAAAAATCTAGTTATGGATCTATGTAGATATTTCATTGGTTACCATAATTTACAGGAAAGGAAGAAAATCATTCTTGAGAAGTCAAATGCACTAGCAAAGAGTGTAATGGTGCCTTGTTATCCCACATAATTTACTTAATGAGGTAATTTGTGGTTTTTTTCACAGTGATATGCTCTACCAATGGCTTCAATAAATGATGTTTACCTCGAGATACCAAGAAGCTAGTTAATATGTGGTTTTCGCCAGGTTGCAAATCTCGTCGAAGCTCCTGTGCCCTTAATTGGAAAGTTCAAGGAATCATTCTTAGAACTCCCAGAGGAGCTATTAACTATTGTAAGCTCTTCAAAAACGAAAATTGGTTTTTATTTCGTGTAACCTGCTCATGATATCTGTTTACTTTCTTATTATATGTCAGCAAGTATGCTTATCTAATTCAGGCCTTATTATGGTGTAACCCTATAGGTAATGCAAAAGCACCAGAAATATTTTTCCATTATCGATGAGAATGGACGGCTATTGCCTTACTTTATTGCTGTACGACAGTCTAGCCTTGCAATGCCGTTTGTTGCATATATTATTTTTCATTTTTAATGGTACAAAAATAAGTATTCAATAGCTGATGAAACAGAGTGTGACTTTCTTTAGGTTGCCAATGGTGCAATAAATGAGGATGTAGTGAGGAAAGGAAATGAAGCAGTTCTCAGGTTGAGATGTGTTATAAGTTGCTAATATTTATACTCAATTAATAGATTAAAGTAGATCCTTCTTGGCACGTCCTTGTTCTTTTAACTGTTTGCATTGCCCTATTTACATGCTATATAGTCTTGATAGTGGTCCATATTAAAAGCGCCCAAAGGTCATGTTTCACTTTTGCAGGGCACGCTATGAAGATGCGAAGTTCTTTTATGAGGTGGACACAAGGAAAAGGTTTTCTGAATTCCGAGGTCAGCTACAGGGAATTCTATTCCACGTAAGTTTTCCTTCGGTACCATTTTTTAGAGAAGAAGCTGGATACGACAATATATTACTAGATGGTTGTACTTCGTTTTTTTTTCCCCCAGTAGTTTCGTTGTGGTTTCAGTTACAATTAAAAAATGCAGACCATATATTGTTGACTTTAGTAGCACATACAACATAAACTTCTCATCCATGTTTGTGTGAATTAATAGGAAAAGCTGGGGACGATGCTAGATAAGATGAACCGTCTACAAAACATGGTAACTAAGCTTTGTTTGTCCCTCGAAATCGATGAGGATGTGCTTCCGGTTGTGGAGGATGCTGCCTCACTTGCTATGTCGGACCTTGCAACTGCTGTAGTTACAGAATTTACTGCGCTGGCAGGAATAATGGCTCGTCATTATGCTCTCAGAGATGGCTATTCAGAGCAGGTATGTTTATGAGTTTGAGTTGCCCTAGTGGCAGCTTTTTTTGTTTCATAGGCTTAATCTACTAGCACACTATGGTATATATCCATTAGCATGGTCTCTATTATTATATGACAACCATGTTCCTGGGATGCAGATAGCAGAAGCTTTGCTGGAAATCACACTTCCTAAATTTTCTGGAGATGTCATCCCAAAAACAGATGCAGGAATGGTTTTGGCAATAGCTGATAGGTAAATTGAAAGCCTAGAATTTTGGTGTCTCTCCTATTTCTTTCTATGCCAAACGTCTTGTGAACACATGTTTCTGGATTTGTTCAGAATAATTTGCTTATACTTCCGATATGATAATTTTGTTTGAATTTGTGATCCTATATACTAACACCTATGCTTGTTTCTATGACTGTAGATTAGATAGCCTTGTTGGTCTATTTGCTGCTGGTTGCCAGCCAAGTTCAACAAATGACCCATTTGGCCTTAGAAGAATATCATATGGCTTAGTAAGTGTATATTTTAACAAGCAATTATTATGATTTGCCCTTTTATGGTTATGTGAGGTTATGGACGCAAAGTAATTCTTTGTACACCTCAGGTTCAGATTTTGGTCGAGAAGGATAAAGATATCAACTTCAAACATGCCCTAGAACTTGCGGCCAGTGTACAACCTACAAAGGTCGAGGCAAACACTTTAGAAGATGTGAGAATCTATCCATAGTGGCGTCAAATTGTTTTCCCACTTTTACAGGTTGTAAACCGTCTGGCTGAATTGTTTTGTGAAATTAACTGGTCTATTGTTTTTAGGTGTATCAATTTGTTACTCGAAGACTGGAACAGCTACTGGTTCGTACAGCTTTTGTGATGCTTATCTTTATTGCTTTCTAATTGTCTTAGACACAATTCCTGGCTCTTTAAAATGAAAGACCTTAGGTCCGGTTCTTGAAACAACGTTCTATCCTTTTTACAGGTTGACAATGGAGTAGGCCCTGAAGTAGTTAGGTCTGTCCTAGCAGAGCGTGGAAACAATCCTTGTCTGGCAGCACGGACTGCATACAAGGTAAGTAACTTGTCATATGATCCAATATATGGAATTAGGTAATAGTTGAGGAGCCTGTGGGCATCATTCTCCTACAAGTCAGATCTTATGGTGATTGGATTAAGCCTAGTATAGAAGGATACATCAAGCCTAGTATAGAAGGATACATCTGAATTTAATTGGTTGAATCTCCTTCGCTATCTAGCATTAGAGACTAGAAACTAGACTGAAACTTGATTATCAATTCTAGTTAGGAATTTTGCTGTGTCATAGTGATTTTGCTATTAAAAAGAAGCTAACATCGCTGGTTCTTTGGGTGATACCTTGCAGATGGAAAAGCTAAGCAGAGGTGAGTTATTTCCGAAGATAGTGGAAGCATATTCTCGTCCCACACGCATTGTCCGCGGGAAAGACATTGGTGTTGGAGTTGAGGTACTCGAGGTTTCTGTTTGAACAAAAAGCACGTGTGCAAACTTGCAGCTTCTAACATTAAATGATGCAATCAGGTGGATGAGAATGCATTTGAGACTACCCAAGAGAGAGCATTGTGGAGCACTTACACCTCTATCAAAGATCAAATTCACACTGGTAACTCCACTTTCTTCTCTACTAGAATCTCTCACAAAAAACAAACAAATTTCTCACTTGCTTCCAAATTTCAGACATAGAAATCGAGGAGTTCACTGAGATATCGATGCAATTGGTGGAGCCACTCGAGGATTTCTTCAACAATGTGTTTGTGATGGTGGTAAGTTGAAACTTTGTCCACACACTGTACTCGAGTATTTCAAGAGCTTTATATGTAGACGAGTGAAGTTTGAATTTTATGATTTGCAGGAAGACGAAAGAGTGAGGAAGAACAGACTCGCTCTGCTCAATAACATTGCCAGTCTTCCCACAGGAGTCATTGACCTCTCATTTTTGCCCGGATTTTGAGCTTTTACTTGTTTCATAATCCCCACAGGAATCATTTTTTCTTTGTTTCATAACCTTTATATCTTGTTTTGTGCTTTCAATGTAAAACTTATGCAATTGAACTCTCAATAAAAAAAAATTCAAAATTTTCTTGCCTTATCATTATGACTGATTTGTGTATCATTTTAGAAAAAAAATCAAATCAAAACATATGCAAATGCAACGTATTCAAAAATATTTGGATGATGATGAGATATATTATTATTCTCAAGGAGGAGGAGATGAAGAAAAAAGTTAGAAAGACCACCGAGAGAAACGGTGGTTAGTTATGGAGGAGGAAAAAGCGGCAGCTTACTACGAAGAGCTCACGCGTAAAGGAGAAGGAGCTGCTCGTTTCAAGCAAGGCCTCGGCTTCTCCTCCGGAGCCAATGCCGTTCCGGAAAGAGGAACAGCTATCGCATCCTCCTCTTCGTTTCTCAATCAGTTCGTCAAGGCTTCCAATCCTACTAAATCCTCTGAAAACAAGGATTCCGAGATCCGATCCATCAGAGACAAATTGAAGAAGAAACCTGAAGACCAGCAACATCCTAGGGTTCCGGAGAGGAGCTCCAGAGAATCGCGTCGTTATCGGAGTAGAGAGAGGGATGAGAGAGATAAAACCCATAGAAGGAGAAGCAGGAGCAGGAGTTCAGAGAGACGTAGTAGGTATGGGGATAGAGCGAGACGGAGAAGCAGGAGCAGGAGTGCAGAGAGGCGTAATAGGCATGTGGATAGAGATACTCGGAGGAGAAGGAGCCGGAGCAGGAGTTCGTCGCCGAGGAGAGAACGTAGGAGGAGAGAAGATGTGAAGGAGAAGAAGATTGATTACTCGCGGTTAATCAAAGGCTACGATGACATGGTATACTGATATCTCTCATAGCTTACCTTCTTTATGGTTACCATACTTCGATGAACTTTTGTTTATGAGAATCAGCTTCGTAATGTTAGAATCCCTCTAGAGTTTGGGCGTTAATTAGGGTGACAAGAACATAGCAATTAGCTTAACATCCTGAATCTTTTGTTGTATTGAAACATAGGAGATGTTTTAAGATAGTAAACCTTGAGCTTTTATTTGTTTCAACCATTCTTTGTTTATGAATATAGGTTCTGTATTTTTGTTATCGGTGTTCTTTGTGTGCGTCTCTGTGTGATTTCTCATTTCCATTGGTATCATAAGGGTTTGTTCTTTTGTTGCTTTCTTGAACAGTCAGCTGCTGAAAAAGTGAAGGCCAAGATGAAGCTCCAGCTTGATGAAACTGGTATGTTAGTCGGTTCCATTTGGGAGATGACATTGATATTCTGTTGTCCATGGTTCCAGCAGCTCGTGATCTGATTCTCGCAACAACATCTTTTGAGTGGGATCCATCTTTGGAATGTTATTGTAAAACGGTGGGATGTGTTTTAGTCTTGATGATGTGAATAAGGATTTCTTATTAGTCTAATGCAAGACTATTGTTGCTAGCCTCGAAGTTTTGTAGTGAATAATAGCCTTAAGTTGGTTAGTTAAGGGGATAAAGGTGTAAAGCTGAGCTAGGAGAATGTATTACGGTATTGGTTGGGGATTAGGTCAGATGACTGAGGTTTCTCTCATAAATGAAAGTCTTTATGGTGTAATTCTGTGGAGGTCTGTGTTTTAGCTCTTTTATCTCCTGGCATTGAGGTTGCAATGTACATTACTGCTGGGAGTAGACTTTCCCTAGCTTTTCCTTGTCAGCAAAGCAACATCTAATTGTTTAATGACCTCGTAGATCTTCATAGCAACTCTGTATATAAGGAAGTTTAGGACAAACCCTTTCCTGGAGATCGTAAATATGTAAATTTATTTAATGGTATAAAAGAGAAATTACCTGGTGTTTCAGAAAGAATAAAAGAACAAGAAAGATCATCTCTGTCCTTAAATGAGATCCCTCGCATTGCATACCTTGTGAAAAATTATGTCAAGCTCATGTTTATTTCTTCACTTGAAACTAATGATCCGCTTAATATGCAGCTGAGAAAGATACCAGTAAGGGTGCAGGATGGGAAAGATTTGAATTCGACAAAGATGCTCCAGTTGATGATGAGGAAGTAGAAGAAGGTCAGTTTCCCATGAATTTTTTACATTTACTCCTTATGATTTCGATATACGATGGAGCTAAAAGCAGAAAATCATCCTCAGTTACTATGTATGTACTCTGTATGCTAAAAACTTCATATGATTGCAGGTACAGATGATGACGCTGCCTTAGTCAAGCGCATGGGACAGAGTTTTAGGTTTTCCGCCATCGAGGTATACTGAGTCATTAGCTTACATTCTCGATCTGGACCAAAGTCACAGTTTTAATTATATCAGAGCTTCAAACAATTTATATGGTTGAATAAAAACTTGTAGGCAAAAAGGGAAGAGCAGCTAAAAGCCGCCCACGATGAGGCCATGTTTGGAGCACCCACATTCCAAAATCATACGGATAACGCCGAATGTAATGTTACAGAGACTACTAATGCTAAGGACGATGAAGGAGAAAACAACAGTGACACAATAAGTCTTCTAAGCGAAAAGGTAAAATTTTTGTGAAACTCTTCATTTCTTTTGCTCTCGAACCAATCGATCATAGGAGCTCTATTTTAGGGTCTGTACGTAAGCTTGTTAAAATCCAATACTTTGTGTTTTAGGTGCTTGCAAAACAGCAAGGATCTTGGCGAGACAGAGCTCGCAAGTCATGAAATTCCTATATATAATGGAAATATGGAAGTCATGATGATCAAATGTAGTTTATTTATGTAGTTGTTGGTCTTTACAAAGTATTGATCGTTTTGTTTCTTGTAGAAATTTTGTTGGATGTGTTTGAAAGTGATTTAAACTCATAACCCCGATGTTTGGTATTACCTAACCATTTTTTTTGGTGCATCAATATATACAGTATTTTGCTTCAATGTCGTACGTTTTTAACTTCTGGCATTATTATGAGGTTCTCATTACAGTATTCGGGGAAATCAGAGTTGCTGACTTGCTGCTAGGTTCAAATATGAAAAGGAATAGAAGCGGTCCAGAGTCAGTTTATTATTAAGTACATAATAGTATATGTTATGCAGAGGAAGTAAGATATGTGATCTTTTTCACATAAACCCAAGAGAACAAAGTATCAGCAAAGTCAATAATGCAAGGCTAAAGGAAGAAAATAGATGGTAGTTTCCAGGAAGAAACGATAAGGTAGAAACAAAACCCAAGATTTTAGTCGACCAAAAAAACCCCAACAAAGTTTTAAGGATTAAAAAAGTATAAGATCAATTCTAAACGATGATAAAAGATAAAAAGTAACTACTCTACCATTAAGAAGAATAGAGACTCTCTCACTTCTTCTCTTCTTTCTCAGCTTCTGCAGCCCTCTTGGCTATAGCACCGGCATGTCTCTTCATCATGCGTGCTGCACGAATCGTGTTATACGCTTCGAACGATTTCATGTCGGAAGTGAGCTTCACAAGCTCCATTGTTTGCTTCTCACGGACAATAGGCAGCATCTTTTTCACCTTAAAAAAGCAAATTAAAAAAAAAAAAGATTAGGAAAGATAAATCAAATCGAGAGATAACACATCTCAATGTTATAGCTAACATTCAACAAGCAAAACAATAAAAATAAATAATAACTAGCATCATATATCAACGAACCTATTAATAGTGTAAGGACCAGTTTAATTTACAGTTTACCACATAAAACTTTGATAATCTCTAAGACAGAACAAAACAACGAACTCAGAACACAAAAGAATGAATTAAGAGAAACAACATGCAGTTACATGCCTTTGTCGATACGTCTTAACAACAACTAAACCTAATGAATTACTTACTCGAGATAGGCGACAAGAACTAGAGAAAAAGAGATCTTCACAAGTCACAGATTTCTTTACGTCAGAATACCGAAAAAATATATAGTAGTAAACCCCTACAAGCCTCGTAGGATATATATAACTAGTGTCTCTATATGTATTTAGGCCATTAGTTAAATGGAAAACATTGTATTAATAACATTATTAAATAAATATCATATATAAAAGAAGTTCCATGGGACGAGTCCTGGCCGAGACCACAAACCTTATTTTTGAGCTTTTATCAAATGGGTTTTATCGTTCGTTCGTTCACTATATATATATATATATATCTATATTTTTTTTCAGCAATCAAAAAGATCGTAACGCATATAATTGCTAAAAATAACTCACAATCTACATTATAACCAAAAAAAAAACAAAATCAAAATATTTGGGTTATAAAAAGAAGAAGAAGAAGATAAGAAACGTATCTTACAACTTGCCCCATTTGCTGCTGTATATCGCATTATCGCTTCATAAACACACAGCTAAAACAAGTGGAAGAAAGAAAAAAAATAAAAAAAAGGCGTGTCTCGAAACTCTAAACTAACAGATGTCAGTACATCACTGGCTGCAAGCTGGACGCCTCTCTGCCAATCAGAAATCAGTATTCCTGAAAATTTATTTTTAATTTTGGTTACAATTGTCCTCCGAAGAAATCGTAAAACCTAAAAGTCAAAATAAAAAGGGTAAAGTGAGAGAGAGAGAGAGGTCTCATCTCATCTACGTTTATTCTTCAACATTCTCCAGCGAAGCCGTCTTCTTCTTCTCCCTTTCAATCCCTCTCTCCTTGGTTTCATCTTCTCTGCGATTTCAAAAATGTCGAGCCGTTGGTTGAGACCTGAGGTACTCCCTTACTACTACTTCATATCGATCTTTGATTCCCCCCCCTGAATCGAAAATCCATCCGTTGATTCTCTTTTGACTACGTCTAGTTTCTAAAATGCTTAGATCTGAAATTCGATTCTTCTTTTACGATTTATCTCGTGAATCACAAATATGCTTTGTTTCGTTTCGGTAGGTGTATCCTTTGTTCGCTGCCACCGGAGTTGCCGTTGGGATCTGTGCGTTTTCGTTGATCAGAAACATCACCGGAAACCCTGAAGTCAGGTTTGTTGTTATACCTCCTTCCTCGGATTTTTGATTGCTGATTGCTACTTAGTCCTCCTTTCAACTATTCTTTGACCGTGAGATGATATTGTAGTAAAACGAAGTCGTTTTGGTTTAGTCCAGATTGATGTATTTGTGAAATGGAAACTTAGCACTAGTTCTTGGCGGATCATTCACACTGGCTTTTTATGATTGGATTCAACTAATGCAATTCTGATTTAGATTTATGTATATGTGATCATCTTTGTGATGGCACAAAGCAATCTTCAAATTTAGATATTTCAAGTTTCATGCCGGTAGTAAACGAAGCCGTTTTGTGAAGATTATAATATATATAATCGAAATGGTTACTCAGCCCTCAGTTTTATTGTTAGTAAGAATCATTTCTTTGGCAGATCATTTATATACTCTACATTAAAGAATTTGTTAGACTTATGACTGGATACAATTCGCGTTGCTGTGATCATCTTCTTTGTAATGGAACAAAGCAACCTTCAACATAGCTACTTTTGAGTTAGCATCAGAGATCATTGGACTCTCAAGTTACCTGTACATCAATCAGGGTTTGTTTTCTGGATCTAAGTGTTTTCTAAGAAAGGGTTTTGTTTGTTGAATCGTTTTCTCTAGATGCACCAAGGAGAACAGGGCTGCTGGAATTTTGGATAACTTTGCAGAGGGAGAGAAGTACAAGGAAAATTTCCTGAGGAAGTTTGTTCGCGACAAGCATCCTGAGATCATGCCTGGAATCAACAAGTTCTTCACTGATCCTAAATACTGAACAATCATCGTCCAAGAACTTTGCTCCCCCGCAATCGTCGTATTGTTTTATGGAATTGAATCTCATGTGATATAAACCTCATTTGTCAGTTTCACATTGTTGATGTATCCTCCAGCTGAACACTTGTTAATGCTGGGCTTATGTTGTCACTTTTAAGCAGAAAATAATTGAATTGCTCTTCTTTAGCAGCGTAACTTATAACAACGATTTCATCTGAGAGTAATAAGAACTTGTTTTCTTCGATATGTCATGACTTTTCACATTGCTGTGGACAAACACGAAATTCAGAACCAACAATGTGAACGGGATTTACGAACGAAGGGTCACAAGAGTTTCATCTTTATGAAATATATAATCTGGAATTTAGGTTACAAATAGCCAGAATCTGCTGTGACATAACTGATGCATAGATAAATTTATGGTGTACAAAGGTTTCTAGTGTACATGATGGCTGGCATTCACTCTCAAAGAGCTTTTGAGTATTCGTTACAATACTGCTAAATAGGAAAATGCTCGAGATCCATTGAAGGAAAACCAGTTTGCGCCATTCTAATCCCTCTGAGTAAGCTCTTTGCCTTTTCTTTTTCCTGAAAACATGAATGCAATCTCGTCAGATTAAGTGTAATAATTACATCAGGACACTTAGATCCTTGTAAAGTTAAGTGTTAACAATGGGGTAAACCGGAGCAGGAAACTTACAGGGCCACTATAATCGAGAAGACGGGTGCAATAGACTTCTGCTTCTTCAAATTTCTTGTGAGTTTTGAAATGTGTAGCAAGGAAAACTAAAGCCTCAAACATGTTTGGTCCTTCTAACCCTTCAGCATCCATTCTCTCTAAGTCCTTTTCGAAGTAAAAAGCAGCTTCATCATTTCGTTCAAGCTTTTGGTGAAGCTTTGCCAGCTGATTAAGAGCTATTCCTTCTGTGTCAGTACAGTTTACAGCTCTTTTGTAGCACTTGATGGCCTCCTCAAGCATGTGAAGTTGTTCAGTTTGATAACATTTAGCCATAGCTATCCACAACCGAGAATCGTTTGGAAGAAAGAATATTGATTTTCGGAAATAATGAAGTGCATAGAAAGGCATTCCCATCATCTCATATGCTTGTCCTAACCCATACCAAGCTCGATAATCACAAGGGTTTATATCAACAGCTCGTCGATATGCATCAATAGCAGCAGGCGTGTTCTTCATCTCGACATATTCGTGACCCATAAGAGTCCACGCAGATAAATACTTCTTGTTCAGTTTCAAAGCTCTCCGGAAGTACATAACTGCTTTCTCATGCTGCCCTTTTAAACTGTAGTAGTTGCCAATGATGCAGCAAGACTCAGGTCTGTACTTATCAGTCAAAAAAACCTTATGTGCGAGGTAACTCAGTGCAGCACATGCTTCTTTTGCATACAGAACATTAGAATACAAATCCATATCTTCTACCCTATAGGGATCGTTTCGCAGAAGTTCTTCAAACATGATTTCAACCTGGTCAAATTCCCTAAGACTATACTGAGCTTTTGCAGTTTGAGCTTGGATGTAATTGCTAAAACTGAAAATACCTTGCAGATAATCGTACTTCGCCAAAGACTCAGTGTGCATTCTGAGTTCTTGATAAGCATTGCCCAGAAAAAACTCTTTCATCCAGTGATTGTTTAGATTAAGGCTATTCAAGATTTCAATGGAAGTACACAGAGACTGCAGCTCTAACCAGGCACTCCAGTTCCATGGATAGCTGTTCACAGACTCCACGAGGCTGGCACGAGCGAGACTTTCATTTCCTTTTTCTTTAAGAACCACACCATACAAGTATAATCCAAAAGAATCAATTGTTCCTGCCCTCCTCAGAGCTGATAATTCCCTCTCCAAAGAGACCAGTTCCCGGTTTATGGCATCACTCTTACCCAAAGGGCCTTCAAGTTCTATCATTTCTTCCTCTTTCCGTTTTTCTCCAGCCTTCATTGAAACGATAACAAAGTGAATGACATATTATAGAGTACTATCAGGTCGGTGTAAATAGGCGGGGGATAAAAAACCTCTCAGTAAGTAATTGTCATAAACATTTACACATTAGTCTTAAAACAGGATAACAACTTCCAATTAAACTTCACTCACTTATGAATTTTTATATATCAGTTGCATACCCTAACATCTTTTGTATCCATAGAACATAACAGCGACTATCAACATAATTGTAAATCAGAGGCTCAATTCTGTAAGTATGTAATGTCATATATTTTATTATCTGGATGGCTGAACGAACCCTCAACAGCCATTGGAGCCACCTTCTAATAATTCCTCACTCTATTTTAATCAGTCATAGAAGCTCTAGCTAAATCAGAAGAAAGAGACTGAGACACAGAACATACCAGATAAAGGGCATAGCAACGCAAGAACACCGATTTCTTGCTCATTTGATCACGAAGTACATGGGAAGCCCGTCTGTACTCTCGACAATCAAAGTAGGACTTTGCTAAAAGGTAAAGGTCACCATCAATTGTTTCATCTTCTTCCGGGAGAGGAGTAGCTGCTTGAGAAAAGCCAACGGAAGGTAGGGGTGTTGAAATAGATTCATTTGTGCTGAACCTTCTGCGGATACTCGAGCTTCCTCGCTGAAACCTTGTATTCGAAGGTGTAAAATTAGAAGGGTCTTGTTCTATCCCCACAAGCTGCTCTCCTGCCCTGCAATGGTGGAAACCCAAGGAGATGTCAGATATGGAACTCGCTAATAGTTCGCCACCACTGCGATTTCTAAAAACTGAAACTTTAACTCATAATTCACAAATGAGATTGAACCGAAATCAGAAATTCCCATCACATTTTTCAATCAGAGTCGAGCTCAAACATATCAGAACACAAAACCCACAAAACCGTAGGTCAAATAACCCGAACTGGAATGTATCCAATACCAAATTCACACAACAACAGTGAATCCGAATCAACGATTCTGCTTAAACGAATTAGGCCATCGATTACTTACACTTTTCTCAAAATTAAAAATATATAACAAAACCATAAAAATTCTGAAAAATTCAATTTTTAATGGAACAAGTTGCTGTAGCGAGCTCGAGATTTCAGCAATAGGAGAGATTGCATAAGATTAGGGTTTTAGGAAACGCACCACTTTGCGGCGGAGTATAAACAACGGTCGCTGAGCTGTCGAATAGCCGCACGGATCTCGTTCCGGCAACTCTCTTTAGAGACCATAGCAGAAGCTCGAAGCAGAGACAGTAGTGTTAACTTAAGTAGTCCTCCTCAAAAAGAATCGAAGAATCTCTTCTTCGTTGCGGAGATTTCAGAAACAATCGCTCCCTCCATCTTAATTATTTTGAAATTTACAGAGAGAAACTTGTGTATTGGGCCCATTGATTAACTTAAGGGCTTCCAAAATAGGCCCATTAAACCAAACACACACAAATTTCAAAATTTGCTTTTTACATAAAACTAATTTTAATATCATATCAGTATTTTATATCAAAAAATTTATCATACACTCACACTGCATTAGTTTTAGTTAGGTATCATATCACTGTATTATTGAAAAAGTGTAGAAATAATAAAATTAAATAAAGGGTGAATTAAATTTCTATACCCAGTTGATTCAAAAATTAAGAATATAGTACTCATAAATGTATAATTAGTTCTCTCTCATCAATTTGTATAAGTGGACAAAAATATCCTTTTGCATCTAACAAATTATTTAGCGGTATAATAATTTAATTATCGATGATACTGTTAATCAAATACATAAGTAAAATCATGTTATTAGTTAGATGAATAACTATTGAATTACAATGATAACAATATATATATACATATAATTTTATTATTATATCGTGTTTAATTTTTTTAAATCGTGATAATTTATGATTTATGTGATAAATTTACAGTTACCGTGTTAACTCATTTACTATACCATATATAAAACAATAATGAATGTCAACAATAGCAATAACATGTTAAGTAATATTATATAGAACAATTCTTGGGTTCACCCCTATTGTGAACTTTTTTGTTCACCTCTTATTACTATAAACTCTAACCACTATTTTGACAGCGTAAACCAAAATTATTTTTCGTTTAATTACATGTTAATATTTTGTTATCATGTAAACCCAAACCCAAACCAAAATTTTAAACATGTTAATAATCTGTTATCGCGGAAATTTATTAACCCAAACCACTATTTTTTCAACCCAAACCGAAATTATATTTCGTTTATTTACAAAATCTAAACCCTAACCACTATTTGTCAACCCAAACCGAAATATAATTTCGTTTAATTACAAAATCTAAACCCTAGCTAATTTTTTGTCAACCCAAACCAAAATATAATTTTGTTTAATTAAAAAATCTAAATACTAACCAATATTTTGTCAACCCAAACCAAAATATAATTTCGTTTAATTACAAAATCTAAACTCTAACGACGTCTTTATAAACTTAATATGCTAAATAATTTTTAGTGTTAAACTTAATATGTTAAAAAATTTATTAACAATATAAATGATATTGTATCGCGATAAAATTATAAGTTATATGATAAGTTTGAATTTATTATGATTTATCATTTATTATCGTATTGAATCATTGTATCATATTGTAGAAGTTAGAATCATTTATACTATTGATATTTATTACGTTATCTCGCTAAACTATTTATTATCATATATAGGGGTATTTTTGTCCAGCCAAAGGAACTATGAGAGAGAACTAATTTAGAAAACATTAATGTCAAATACTTAATTTTTCATTTATTGGAGTACATAGAGTGCAATTTCCCTTAAATAAATAATCAAAATTAAATACATAAACTTTTAGTTAGCTAATGAAGTAGGACAAAACAACTTTTTTTTATTTTGGGTCAATACAAACCCTCATTAATGGTTATATAATTAGTCAAATATAGACCCTGATTTTGCTTATCCAAGTAAGCTACTAATCCACCAATCAAGGCAAAAAGTGCATTTTAACCAACTGAATCTGATAGTAATTACTAATAGTCTAATTACTCTCATCAAAAAGATTACAGTCAAAAGGTTTAAACTTTAAACTTGCCAAAACCATATAAACCAGGTCAAACCAAAAACCAAATTTTAGACCAAATCACTGTTAAATCGTACAAGACCAAAACCCCTTACAACTTTACTTTTCGAATTCAAAATGGAAATGTATTCAATACTTTGTTACCATAATTATTGATTCAAAATGTATCTAATCTGATTATGGAATATAAAAAGTGACAATGTTGAACAGAATCCGAAACATATGGTAAGTAATTTTCATAACCGAACAGAGCAAAAAAACATTTAAAAACCGAAAACATTTCAGACCAGAACCGAGAACAAAACCGTAAAGGTTTCAGCTTTACCAAAAATTTGGAAGGAGTGTGTATGTACGAGGAAGGAGGAGCCAAAGAATTCAAATTGGCGCTCAAGCTTTTAACGTATCTTCCCAAAATTCTCCCCCTCTTTTTTTCGAATCCTTATTTTGGGGTTTAAAATCCCTCCAAAATCCCAATCCCAAATTCTCAATCTCATCACCCATCGATTCCGTCAATCATGTCAGATCTACCGCCGGAAAGATCCAAAATGGTGGTTTATTCACCTTCTTCCATGTCGGAGACTTCATCTGCTTTACACCATTCCTATAGTCGGAAACAGAAGTCTCTGGGTCTTCTTTGTACCAAGTTCGTTCCTTTTTGCAAAACCCATCTCGTTTCTTTATAAAGTTTTTCGCTTTTTGGGTTTGTTCTGATTTTTGCTTCATCTCAGTTTCTTAGCTTTGTATAATCGAGATGGGATTGAAATGATTGGGCTTGACGACGCTGCCTCCAAATTAGGTATTGCCCACTTTGTGTTTTGGGATTTTGTGTAATTTTCATTTCTGATGACATCTTAATTTGCTGATTGGGGTTTATTTACAGGTGTCGAGAGACGACGAATCTATGATATTGTTAATGTTCTGGAGAGTGTTGGGGTGAGATTTGTTTCTCCACTTTTCAATTTCTTAAATCTCTCTTGTTATCTTTGCTTATAGAGGAGTTTGGTCTAATTTAGGTTTTAACAAGAAGAGCGAAGAATCAGTATACGTGGAAAGGGTTTGCCGCAATCCCAGGAGCTCTGAAGGAGCTACAAGTGAGTTTCTTTTTTGTTTGTTATGTATTCGGATTCAATCCCAACTTTGTGTAAGAAGTAGCAATTTGATTTGTGAAGTCTCATAGGAAGTGTTCCTGATGCAGGAAGAGGGGGTTAAGGACACTTTTCACCGTTTCTATGTCAATGAGAATGTTAAAGTAAGTGATTTGGATATGGGTTCTCTTTTTATTCTGGGTCTTTAATTTGATTGTCTTCATTGTCCTAATGTTTAAAGTTCTGTACTTTCAGGGATCTGATGATGAGGATGATGACGAAGAGTCTTCTCAGCCTCATTCTAGTAGCCAGACTGATAGTTCAAAACCTGGCTCTCTTCCCCAATCTTCAGATTTGTCAAAAATTGGTACTGTTTTTTTATGTGTTGTACTTAATTGTGTTTGCGTTTAGTTCAGTTGCAATTAGATTTACAGATATGCCAAGCTCTAGGTTAGAGTCAGGCTTCTTGTCATATATATAAGTGGAACTGGACTTTGATGCCAAAGAACAGATATGGCGTATGAGATATAATGTGGATTCCTTGACATTTTGTTGGTTGGTTATGTGTGACAGATAACCGACGAGAGAAGTCTTTAGGATTGCTTACGCAGAACTTTATCAAACTCTTTGTTTGCTCTGAAGTAAGTGTGAAGACCAAGGATTTCATTTTATGAACTTCAGTGTTTTCCACCAAGTTACTAAAGATTTTGTTTTGAATGTGTTCAATTGTTTAGGCTAGGATCATCTCCCTTGAGGAGGCTGCAAAGTTACTGCTTGGTGATGCGCACAATACATCAATAATGCGAAGTAATGTATCTTCATCTTGTGACTTTCAGACTACTTTTTTCTTATGTTGCATACTCACTTGAAGCAAATTGATCTGTGTTTGCTGATACATTAATTACTTTTCTGCAGCAAAAGTGAGGCGGCTTTATGATATTGCGAATGTCTTGTCATCTATGAATCTCATTGAGAAGGTAAACCAAAAAATTTCATTGCTGCAGCGTTCATGAACCATCTATGTTATGTAGCTGTTTATTAGTCTAACTACTTTCTTCTGTGGTGACAGACTCAAACCTTAGATTCTCGAAAACCAGCTTTCAAGTGGTTAGGATACAATGGTGAGCCTACGTTCACACTGAGCAGTGATTTGATGCAAATAGAATCGAGAAAGAGAGCTTTCGGAACTGATCTTACAAATGTCAATGTCAAAAGAAGCAAATCATCATCTTCGTCCCAAGAAAATGCTACCGAGAGAAGGGTAAAGATGAAAAAACACTCAACACCAGAAAGTTCTTATAACAAAAGCTTTGATGCTCATGAAGCAAGACATGGATCAAGAGGTTACCAGTTTGGTCCTTTTGCACCAGGCAGTGGCACATACTCAACTGCTGGTTTGGAGGACAGCTCTAGGAGAGCTTTTGATGTTGAGAATCTGGTTTCGGATTACCATCCCTCATACCAAAATCAAGGTGCATAGTTTTATTCACATCTATTTTGATATCCAATTTGAAAAGAGATTGCTATAAATCAAACACCTGAAATTAACTCTGTTCTTAACCAATTTTCAGTTTTGAAAGACCTCTTTTCCCATTACATGGATGCTTGGAAGACATGGTACACTGAAGTCACCCAGAAGAATCCATTACCTAATACATCGCAACACCGTTAGATTTATTTCTTCTTCTTCTTCTTCTTCTTCTGCTTCTTCTTCTTCTCTTACCTGTGAACATCATCATTCGTATAGAGCTTTAAGAGTCGTTTCTTTTGATCACTGTGTTTTAGTTTCTCCTCACAATTGTAATTGCAAGAATCCAACATTAATTCACAGATCGCATACCCTCTTTGCCTTCTGAAGTTACTGTAGGCTGTAGCATTCATCTTTTGCTCAATTCTGATGCCAGTTTTGTGCAACTTTTCAAGATGTATGGCATATATCGTTTTGAGAGAAACAAAAAACAAAAATCTTATTTTCCATTTTTATAGAATTTTAAGTAGCAATTCCATTTCTCTTATTGTCTTACAGAAGGCTCTCTTGCTTTTATTGGTATACTCTTATTTTGGTACATATTCTAAAGAAATATCAGGAAGTAATGTTTGTCTCAGAGCTTGGAGGGAGGTTTGTACCATCCCCATGGTTCATCAGAGATATACTGAGTCACCTGCTTCACACTCAAGTAGTTCTCAAGTCCCCTGCAAGGAAGCAAATATATGTTTCAATTCAACACAAGGCAAATAATAATCAAATTCTGTAACCAATAAGGTTTATGACCATGGACACAATTTCATCTCAACACTTATTGCAAAAGAAAGCGACTTACCATTCTCCCAATTCACGACCAAATCCACTGCGTTTGGTTCCACCCCATGGAGCTTGGCAGAAGCATGGCTGAGAGCAGTTGACCCACACTATTCCCGCCTGGAAAGCCTGAAAACACAATGATTACGATTCATAAATTTAAGAGACGAAGTTTAATCATGAGATGCACGCAGTTACTGATTGTTAATATTGATAGTAAAGCTAGATACACACCTTACTAACACGATCACACCGCTCCAGATCATTTGATAATACTGCACCGGCTAATCCATATCTGCAAATTGAAAAAAAAATCAGGCATACGATCTCAAACTTCATACGATCTCATACATCATCGCTTCAAGATAAGAAGAAAAAACTACACTCACTGAGAGTCATTTGCCAGCCGAATTGCCTCATCCTCCGTGGAGAATGTTTTGACACATAGAGCAGGACCAAAGACTTCCTCTCTCCAAATTTCCATTGAAGTAGTCACATTTGAAATGATTGCAGGTTCAAGAAAGTATCCCTTCTTTAAATGCTGCAAAACATAAATATAACATTGTAAGTGCTACAGGTTCTAGATAATATTTGGACAGACATAGAAGATTAGCCTATATCTGTAATGTACCTTAGGACGAGCTCCTCCACAAAGGACAGTTGCACCTTCCTTCTTAGCGTTTGAGACAAACTTCATGACTCTCTCGTACTGCATCGGATTAAGATATGAGAGTTGACTATAATTTTTTCGTGATTAACCCAAATTGATAGATAAGAGAGAGTTTTTGGAGGATTAAGGTGTTGATTCTTGAGAAGATCAATTTTGTTTTAAGTAATATTACCTGTCCTTTGCTCACAACAGGGCCAAGCCTACAGCCTTCTTCAAATGGATCTGAAATCTTAATATTCTTTGTCCATTTTACCAGCTTGTCCAAAAATTCATCAGCAATCCTTTCCTGACATTTTCCCAGATTTTATTTCATGAAAACAACAGTACACAAGATGTATAGTAAAGCATTCTCTATCCTACTTATATCAGGGGTTCAAGGTCCTATAATCATTGATACTTATACACAATCCGAATTGGTGATAGTCAGTCTTACAATTAAATATACTGAAATTTTGTACCTTTACATTGCTGGTTTCATGAAAGGAGAAGTTAAATCTTCTACTTATTTTATAACTAGAGAAGACTACATAACTATGCTTTAATTTCCATAGCAAACCTTTAATTCTATAACATATAGCTTCTCTAGAGAACAGCTTTGGCTGTGTTAAAGGATAATAGATATCATGTATAGTTTGGTGGAGAATTTATAATCAGAGACTATTGCAGATTATTGCTCACTTACATGCACGAGAAGTCGAGATGTGGAACTGCAAATCTGCCCATTCGTCCAGAAACAACCAAACATAGTCCATTCCACAGCTGTTTAGAACAGAAGTGTAGTCACTAATTAAACCAATAGCTTAGCATACATATAGCATGGTTTTCTTAAGGTTCCAAAAGTACCCACCTTTGTCAATATCAACATCATCAAAGACAACGATAGGGCTTTTCCCCCCAAGCTCCAAGGAAACAGGCTGCGCAATGAAAAGTACAGAATTCATGCACATACCCCGAAAATTCATAGTCAAAATAAACGAAGTCCAGATACATACTAGTTCCAAAGGAAAGCAACAAGGACACTTGGACATACCTTAACCAATTTGGCAGCAGAAGTCATAATACTGCTTCCGGTTGTTGTGCTTCCAGTGAATACAATCTGGTAAAGCCTAAAATATCAATACTTCAACTAACCTAGACAAAATAAGAATAAATCCTCTATCTAGAATTGTTTGACTTTCAGGATACTGGTAAGGATACAACTGACTACATATCAAACCTTGTCAACATGTGGATGCGATGCCAGTGGAGCACCTGCTTCAATTCCTAAACCAGTCAGAACATTAAGAACACCAGGTGGCAGACCCACCTCACGGCAAATATCAGCGAGCTCCAAACATGTTCTGAAGTAAAATTGCATCAGATTGGTGAGTTCATGAACTAATAGTTGAACTGGCTAAGTCATAATATCAAATACGTACAGGGATGCCAACTCCGAAGGTTTTAGTATTGCCGTGCACCCAGCAGCAAGTGAAGGAGCTACTTTCCAGACAGCCATCAGTAATGGATAATTCCTTCAATGCATATATAAATTATTAGCTGCTGAATATCGTTTCTAACATACGGTCTATACAAATAGGAAGAAAGAATACTTGGAAGATTCAATGTGATCTGAATATGTAAAATTAAACCGGCTAACTCGACAAAGAATAATTATATACAGTGAATTGAGGGACTCGGTTAGATTCAAATCTGTTACCATTAATGTAGTTCTAGGAACATGATCAACGAAACATACCAGGGAGTAATCAGCCCAACTACACCGATGGGTTCCTTGAGAACATAACCCTTGAAAGTATCCATTGGGAGAGAAAGAGGAGCCTTCTGCTTTGCATCCAAACCTTCAGCCAGGTCAGCATAATATTCAAAACATCCAGCAACATCATCCTGCAAGGGTTACAAGCAACCACATATGACATTTGAATCACAAAATGGCCAAAATGTTAAGAAAAGCAAAGTGAGAATACCATGTCCCATGCTGCTTCATCTAGGGGTTTACCGCAATCAATAGCCTCAAGATTAGCTAGCTCAGACTTCCTCTCGATTACCTGGATATGGATATATACATTTTGTTATTGCCAGGAAGAACAGCTAACAGAGAATGAAACAAGAGAGGAACACAGATTTATTAAACTCATTGCTACCTTAGCTGCAATAGCACGCAAGTATTTGGCACGAACAGCCCCAGTTGCTTTCGCCCAATCCTTTCCATTGTTCTTAGTAAGTGCTCTCCTAGCAGCTTCCACAGCGAGCTCCACATCTTCAGAAGTTGCAGCTGGAATATAACCTAAAAAAACAGCACCAATCCTAGCTTAAGAAACTTAAAAACACTACAAGCAACTCCATCATCACAATAGAAGATTTCAACAACATATCTCTATCTCCTCCTATATAATTCCACAGATCAAACGCAAAAACAACTTCAGATCTAGTTCATAAACAAGAAAAAACCGAAGCTAGCTAAGGATTAACCAACATCAGAGAAGAAATTACGATCATCTCAAACAGATAAAAATTCAAAGCTCTCTTAACTAAGTATATAGCAAATCGGGAAATGCGTACTTCCGATAACGAAGGATTAAACAGAGAAATCGATTGATCCAGTTCAAAAACAAGTGAGCAAAACAACAAAAAGTCCCCAGAGTAATATATGATTGGGAAATTATAAAAGTACCAATGATCTCCTCGGTGGCGGGATTGACAACAGGGAGAGTATTACGGCGAACAGGCTCAGTCCATTGACCGTCGATGAAGAGTTGTCGTCTCGGCACCGTAATCGCCATACTCTCGTCTCTGCTAGTAGAGGTGGTGAAAGAAAGGGAGTAAACGGATCGTTGAATTTCCTTTTTTTTTTTTTTATAATTCTTAATGATATCTCCAACTCAAATCTGACACACCTTTTTATAATAAATATAGTTCTATATAAAAATAAAAATTGAAGATAAATTGCATAATTTGTTTCCTTTTTTTACAAATTTTATTAAGACAGTAAATTTAATTATTCAATATTTTAAATTATTTCCTTCAAATATAAGTATTATTTTTATTTTTTTCTGTTAATATACTATTGTAATCATGAAATCTTGAACACGTAGCACAAAATATAAATCTAGAGTTAATTATTATTTTTCTTCCTTAAACAAAATCAAAATTTATTCAGAATTTTTTTCTTATTTTTTTTTCTTGAGTTTTATTACTCCTTAATCTATCCAAACTTCAGAAGTCAAACAATTCACCTAAAACGATCGCACCAAATCAATATTCAAAAGTCTTATATAATCTCTCCGATCATAAAAAAATAAAGCAAGAATCAATACAGATTTTTATTTGTTTAATAAAGAACAAAAAGAAGAAGACAAATATGTAAAATCCAAGAAAAAGAGATACGAATATATCAATTCTTAGTGGTGGACTTGTTGTATTTGTCTTTAACCCAATTAAGACCCAAAGACGTTCCTATCTTCACTTTCTTCAGCCCCGAAGTCGCCGCAGCTTTCGTCTTCCCTAATCCAGCCTCCACCTTCTCTTTGTATTTCGCCGACGCACCTCCGCCGTCCGTTGTTTTTCCCGATGATGATGATTGTTTGTTGTCCCACTGATCCGCCCATGAATTTTTCTCCATTTTGTATAGAAAGAGAGAGAGAGAGAAAAAGTTTTGATGATTAGGTGAGAAAAATGTGATTTTATTTGTGATTAATATAACAAAGGCACACAATTTATAAGGTTTGGTAGGGTTAGAGAAATAATTTTATGTGTGTTTTATAGAAGTAAACAAAATAAAAAGCTAATGTTTGACCAAAAAGATAAATTAAAAAAAGCTACTATAATCTTAATTATTGGTGTAAATTTAATTAAAAGAAACATAGAAGAAGAAGTAATCTTCTTTTTTTTCTTTTGATAAAGTGTTTTTATGATAAAGTAGAAGAAGTAATCTTAATCTTCTCTATTTAGAATTTGTGTAATTGTGTAATTTAATTAAATGCAATTTTGTGGTATCTTTTGACTTTATTGTTTAGTTTTGACTTCTTCACCAACAAATGCAGTTAATATCTTTCTTTCTACGAATTTGTTTCCTGATTAGCAAAAAAACCCAACTTTAACCACACGTCACTAATTAGATGTGGACAAACACACTGATCAAACCCCATATTGTATATTGGGACAATGTATGTTCACATATTTGACATTACCAAACGATGGGTTCAGGTGGGTTTGATTTTGATTATTCATAGTTTACAGCTTACTTACATGCATAAATAGTCATGGTTGGTCAGGCAAGCCTGGTCTAGTTCGGTTCAAAATTTGCAAGGCCCGGTCCAATTTTTATTGGGATTACATATTCTCATACCCGGTCCGATCTAAACATAGCTACAGTACATATGTTATGGTTTTTTTTTTTTTTTGGAGTTTTTGTTCTATAGATCCGTAATGTGCAAACAATTTAGGGATCAGTATGTTTTTTAACAAAGCTAAATATATTCAAATAGATACAAGGATTATTAACGAATAAATAAAATATTACATCTAAGTAAAGTACTGTATAAACAATTGCAACAAGCAAAACATAAGACGGTATAGTTAAATGTTAAAAACTGAATATGAATAGTTAAAAACTGGATCCCATCTTTTCTACAAGTATTGTTCCCAAACATATTTAAATCCCTTTTTGTTCAATAATCAAATGAGTATTTAAGATTACAATGTTATTTTCTTTTAATCTATAGTACAACAATTGTTAATAAATACTCCTATAAGATATTTCATGCGTTTTTAGTTTTAAAATTATCATTGTTTGATAGCTGTGCTTGACTGCTTGTGCAATATAAAAATGAAAAATATTCACTTTTGAAGTTTCAGATTTTTGTTTAACCATTAATTATTAAGCAAGACAGGTCAAATTAACTGGTATATATAGACATTAAACAACTTTTAGTCACTTTTTTAAAAGGTATTGTCTATAACAACTTTTATAGTCACACTCTTTTTAAGGTACTATAAAATAATCATCCAAATTCCAAACCTCCAAAATGCTATCTTCATACTCAATACCTTACTTCTTCTTCTTCTTTTTTTTTTCTGGAAATTTGTTTCTCTTAAACCGGAACCCAAAATGAAACCTTATGGTCTATTATATTGTACGTGCAATTAAAACAAATCTAAATACCAGTTCGAGCATCGCATTATTTTTATTATGAACGTGTTTGTGATATATGTATGTTTCAAATGTTTACGTAAAAGTTTATATGAGAGATCAAAGACAAAAACATAAATTTTATATTCGATTGTGTGCAGAGACAAAACCGAAAAAAAACAAATTAGAGCAATAGAAATGATGTCCCGAGTAAAATACATACTGTGCAAGTGTGCATCATTTTCAAATATCAACGAGAAAATTAACTTCTGTGTGTAAATGCATTTATGTTCGTACACATTTCTTCGTCAACTTAGCCATCATAACTTTTTGGACTGTTACACCAAGCGACACAATCATTTGTATGTAAGGAATGATCTATTATATAGACAAGATCGATGTTGTATATGCATATGACATGAACATGAACATGCTTCATATTCTACATTTCATGGAAACATACACCACTTTCTTTGTGTTTACACGCACCATTAATGCCAACTCCACGAACTAATTCAGTATATATACACATACTTATATGTTCTTAACGAATCGCTACTTGTATGTTCTAGTAAAATATGATAAATCGTTGATTTGTTACCTTGTGTTAGATTTCATCGATCCAAGCAATTACATGATAACATCTTCCAAAATAAATAACCATTATATCTATGGGATTTGATTTCTTGAGTAGAATTCGGAAGAACAACATAGGATATAGTGATACATGTAGTAGATTTCATAAATCTAATAATAAGTCAAACAAAAATACCAATCGGGAAATAAAAAGAAGAAGGAAATAGAGATACAAAAGGATGTCGAAATTAAGAAAAGGAAACACAAAAATAAAAAGACAAGAGAGAGAGATGACAAAAACACACACTTGATTTGGTGACTTTCAAGATGAAAGATCGCTTTGAAGCAGCGAAGGATCGGACCGAGACGCTTGATTCCCCTTTCTGGTTCTCGTACGCACACGTGGATGGATGAAAGATACAAACATATGATGATGATGATCGATCAAGAACTGATCTAAATGAAAAAGTAGATCAGAGAGATAAGGAAGTGAACCCTAATCTTAAAACCTTGATGGTGATGATGATAAGAATAATTATCAACTATTTCATCTTCTTTTTCTTGGGATTCTTGATCTTTGGTTTGTGTGTTGTTGATGTCTTCTTCTTCTTGGGTATTGGGACTTGGGAGGTGAAGAGAAAGAAGAAGGAGAAGAAGACGACGAAGATGATGAACATGAATTACCATCATCACTATCATCATGATATTGGGAATTAAAGTGAAGGGGAAGAGAGAGAGAGAGAAGAGTGAGGTTGTAATGATGATGAGGTATGAAGAGAAGTCAGAGGTAGGGGAGGAAAATTATCATTACTACTTTGAACAAAATGTTTTCTAGCTTCTCTCTTTTTTTTTCTTTTTTTTTTCTTTTTGTGGGCTTCGAAATATCCTAACCCTATCTTAATGCCCTTGAGCTTTTCTCTCTCTATTCATGAGGAGATAGATAGAGAGACACATATGCCTTTGTGACATAGGGGTAATTAAAACTTTTTTCAATTGCCTATCCAATGTTCCACGAGGAAAGCTTATTTTATTTTATTTTTTTACCACATATTTTGATTAATATCAACCAAAATCTCATTTCTTAGTTTGATGTCTTTTTTTTCCAAAAATGTATTTCATAGTTTGATATCAAGAAAATAAAATTCATAGTTAAGAAAAATGGGCATAATTTAAAGAAACAAGGTTTTGTATATTATCTGTTATTTCAAAACTTTACCATCTTATATGTATATGAATTACTTTGTTTTGCCATGGACGATTTTGCAACCAAGTTTGACTTAACTCCTTTGGCCTTTGAGCGACAATCTAAAATAATTATATATATATATATATATATATATATATAAATAATATATGTGTGTAGTATTTTACTCTTTCTTTTTTCTTTGTAATTTTGTGTTGTCCAACTTATTTTTGTTGTTTTTACCACAAAAAAAAACTTATTTTTGTTAATGTTGCGATTCTTGCATTCCGTAAATAAGCGGAACTTGATCGAATCGAGCTTTATGTAATTGATGTAAACAGATATTGTTTTCTATTTTGTGGAAATATAGGTTAATTCCATTTTTTCTTTTAAGTCATAGCTACAATGTTGGCTCTAACAAATCTCCTTAACACAACATCATATATCTTCTTAAGTAAAAAAGAAAAACTGCTTAATCTTGCACAATGTCTTAAGTATATAACAAAAAAATACCCGGTTATTTACTCATTTCATGGAATAGTGTATATAGAGTATAAACTTCAGTCTAAAATATACAATGGTTATATATATAAAGAAAAAGGTTACTATTAAAAGATCAAAATATCTAACCTAAAAAGACCATGTTATACCACGAATTGATAAATATATATATATATATATATATATATATATATATATATATATATATATAAATTGTAATTCCTTTTTGATGTTATGAATCTTTAATAAATTCTACTCTAAAGTGTGGAGTAACACAAATCCTTCAATCTCCAATATATTCGAGCCAGAGCTTGGGGCAAAAGAATACACATTTTTATTATTCAGACAGTATAAAGTATAATTGGTCTATTACGCATGCAACTCATCAACATATTTCGTTTTTCTCTTTCAATTGATGTGTTTTTTTTTTTTTTTTTCACGTAATCGATGTTTGTTGATCATGTAGTCCAGTCACCAATATGTGTTATTTGTAAGTTCATTTAAATTCAAAAAGTAACGAGAAAAAAAAAGTTAAAGGATGGATCAAAAACTTTATGATCGATCGGGCTTATTCGAAAAGCACATGGATATTCTTTCCATATGCAAAAACATTATGTCGAGTGTCCATTAACCAACTTTTTCAGTTCAATCTCAGTGCTTTGTTTCCCTACTTTTACTTGATTAATAATATCCCACACCAAACTTGACATGATACTCATAGTCTCATAGAGTTTCTAAGTTGTAATTACTAATATACTAAATTGTCATTGCGTCATAGTGTATTACGTACGATATATAGCTAATTCATCGTATTGGTTCGTGTTTCACAATTTGTGTAAATATTTACACTACGAGTAGATATACTGATGTAGTCTTCGCTATGTCTAGTGTAATTTGAGACATTGTTTGGAGGGTTTGGTCCAACTATGTGGAAAATGTACTCTTAGCTTTTTCAACATCAATTTTGGTGTCCAAAGGTGTACACTCAAATCTAAAAAACTAATTCCGGGTAAAAATAAATTGTAATTTAGTCAATACCATATTAATCACTATGTTACTGATCCTACCCTAACTCTCACGATCTATTTTTATTTATTTCAAGTTAATAAATTTTGAAAGGAATTTGTCTTTGTCTTTCTAGTCAACTAAATTTACTGACTGAATTAGAAAAAGGCTGTTGGTGACTGTATTTGAGGAGTAAATAGATTACTAAATTGCTACTAAAAACCTACAGTAAGCTTTATTGGGTTAAGTTAAAGAGGATAGTTTTCGGCAGTCCATGCCTTGCATAATGCATATGCCATAAGTACTTATCCTTTTAAATTTTTAAAGTGATGAGAGTCAGAGGACAATAAAAAAGGGGTAAATGACAGAGGAATCAAAATCATGAAACTCAGTAAAGGCAATGCCTTGAAACCAGAGACAAAGAGAATGAGGTTTTTTTTTTTCTTTCTTGCAAAAGCAACCTCAAATGCATTTCTCTTTCTGCCATTTTCTCTTAAAAATCTACATATAGGGTTTTAGTATTACCAAACCAAGAAAAACAATTGAGAAGAATAAATAAGGAAAGAATGAAGTTATATAAAGTTTTCTTGAAGTTGAGAATTTCCTCTCAAAAGTGCTAATATGTCAGCAATTTTATTTAGGTCTTATTAGTAAATATCTATAATAACATTTTTGCAGCACTTTGCAAAAAAAACTCTTGGTTTTCAAGCTATTTACAATAGCATGCCACTACATTAATTGTTTTTTCTTATTATTTTTAAAAAACAAATATTAAAAATATTTAATACAAACAATTGACAAAATTATTCTCCTTAAATCTCTCCAAAATCTACGCAAATCAATATTTCATTAAATACATAAATATATTATAACATTTTGGAATCATTTTTTCTCTCTTTACTTGAACATAATATCATTCTTTTGTGCATAAATTATAATCATCTTATTTCCCATATTTTATAAATCCTAATTTGTGATTTAGAAAACAGTTTTAAGTATCTGAAAAATACCATTTTTCAAATACAACTATTTAAAAATACCCCATTTTCAAACTTTATAAAAAAAACCACTAAAAATGTTAAAATTTATCCAAATATGTGTGTAAGCTTATAAATATATACACAAATTACCTTTATATGTGTATAAAATTTGATATATCTTTCATAAATAGAGTAAATATATAGAAGTACCTTATAAACCATATAAAACTTATAATTTTTCATATTTAAACAGATATATTTTTGAAAATAGATAAATAAAGAGGGTATATTTGAAAATGGTACACTAAAAGGAGTATTTCTCAAAAATTCTATATTTAAATTGTTTTATCAAATTAGAGTATATATATACATATATTTCATCAAGGTAAAATGGAAACTTTACAACTAATTAGATATTGTTTTATTCCACCAAAATACATATTGTTTGATAAAGGTATATGCAGTATCTTGTTAGTGTTTGATGAGATGTGAAAACAAAATGATACAAAATTAATTGATATTTTCACTATAGTTATTAGTTAAATTAATTGCCAAAATATTCACCTTTTTCCCTTCATATTCACCTTTAATGAGTTTGTTTGAATTGTTCTTGGAATAAAATTATTTATTATATACATAACTGTTTTATAAAAAAATATAATATATGAAAACAATTACATATTAATTATGATTAAACGTAAGCTCTATATTTTATAACACATAAGATAACATTACAATTTGATTACATTAATTTTAACAAAATTAGTAAAAAGTATCGAAATACTTTCACAGGTTTTTTAAAAGTTAGTATCAAATTTATATGATTAATATGTTAGTATATATTTTGTTCTACAAAAAAAAACTTTAATTTTAGTGATTTGTAGACTTAACCCGTAGTCCGTTTAAAGTTTAGCAATTTAGTATCCATTTTTAAATTGTTTTATTATAGTATTTATAATATCATATATATATATATATATATTTATATATATACATGAGAGGTTAAAATAAAATTATCAAAAAATATTTAATATTTGCATGATTTTTTATATTATATATATATATATATATATATTTATACGAAATAAAATGATTAAAACCTAAAACATATTCAAAAAAATAAAACACTTGACAAAAGATATACAAAATAAAATTAACATAGGTCGTTGTGCTTCGTCCATTATCATCACATGAATTCAAATCATCTCAGTTCAGGTATCGTTATGATAGAAGAGAAAAACATGAAGGTAAGACAAAGTAACGTTAGAATGATGTGTTATGTTGGCAATGAAAATATATACATACATAAATAGGAAAGAAACGATTAGGGTTAGTTGTGTGATAAATTTTGTAAAAATCTTAAGGAGTAATGACAGATATGCAAAATATAATTCCAACTGGATTATAGGTTCATCATAAAAAAAATACAATCATATTAATTCAAAACCGTTCAATCATATTTATGTACAATATTATTATATTTTTTAGAGTTAAAATATTAATAATATTTTAATGTTTTGTAGAGTTTAAATATTTTAAATATTTGAAATATTATATAAAGCTTAAATTAAATATTATAATATTTGAAAATTTTAAAAGTTTTAAGATTTCTAATATTTTAATTTTTTTAAAAAAATATAATATTTTCAAACTTTTTAAAACTTTTATTTTTCTTAAATAAAGATTCGGATTAAGCCGAATAAAGTTTTTAATTTGGATGCCTGAGAAATCAATCGTCATGCTCATTTGTAGTTGGGAACGAGCATATTAGTCTATTTATAATGGATTTGAAATATTATCTAAAATTATATACCTTGTATAAACTTTATACATATATTTTTTCATTTATCGATTGAGTAATATGCGTCCGTTTTCAAAAATTGAAAGTGCAAAATCTGCGGAAAATAATTTGTATTTTTATTATACATATGTTTAACAATAATATAAATTAAAAGCAAATAAGATAATATAAATATATTAGACAGATTCGATTTATTAGAGAGATTTTAGAAAAAAATTTGATGTAATAAATATTTGTTTCCAATTTTGATTTGTTTGTGATTTAATTACCAATTTTGATTTGTTTGGGATTTAATTACAAAACTTACTTTTAAGCTTTGTTATTTATTCAAATGGCAAGAGTTTGATTATGTAAATATTACAAAATAAAAGGTTATAATCCAAAATAGATTTTAGTACAAAATGTACTTCAAAACTGTTAAGATAGACAATATGTATACATACAGCTTGGACCGTTCTTTTCAAGTATTGGAAATTATTTAACTAATATTTTGGTATGATCCAACCTTTTGATTTTTTTTTTTATAATGTTAATCAAGAATAGGGCATTTTCTATCTATTTTATTACATTCATATTTATTTACCAATCAGATTTTTATGATAAAATAAGAATATGTTACATTTTCTATAAATACTTATATATTTGATATAATTTATCTTTGTTCTATAAATACTTATATTTTGAACTCGACTAGAAAAAGTCATAAAAGTTACTTAAAATTAAACTAATCATATAATTAAAATTAAATTAATTAAAGTATTAACAACTTTAAACAAAATCACCCTTCCACTATAAATGATGGTAAATTGAATTAAAAGAGGGTATCAACTATAAACTTACCGGAGGATTCTATGAGTTCCAGAGCCAGAGCTGCCAGTCCAGAGCCAGAGGCAGAGAAGTGTTATGGCGGTGAAAATGATCGCTGCAACAAATAGAATGTTAGCTTACAATATTTTCTCTTCAGCATACATTCAACTTAATTGAAATTGTAGGAAATCATTTTTGCTTATCGAATAAACATATATGTCTCTCCGGAACAAACAAGCTGCGGCATTTAACTCTAGTGGACCTCCCCAAGTTGTAAGATTCTGCATGTAGTCACAATATGTATCTAAGTCTCCTATTCGTCCTTCTATTTCTTCAGCGACTTTTAGTGATTGAATGACATTGTGACTCCTCGGAGGTAAATTGTTCATCTCATGGGTAAACAGATTCAAAATATAGAGATCATCTCAATGATCTAGCATAAGGAGCCAATTCCCATATTTTGCTAAACAAATTACTCTTTGCGGATTGGACACCTATATCTCAATTTTTGTAAAGTTTGAAACAATGTAGACATGAAAATTATTTTTTGAAAAATTATAATCCATATCAATCTATTGTATTAGTTATATATCCATTTTGGTAAATTTATACTATATTTTCTAAAAGTTTATAACCATTGTTTAAATTATATATTTTTAGAAGAGTTTTTTTTGGATCAATTAATTAAATTGCTTAAAAAAAATTAGTGCTTTTCTTTCTGTTATATATAATTTATTTTGAAAATGTTTTTTAAAAAGCTTTTAATGAACAGAAACAATAGATTTGCGTATTGCTAACTGGTAAGAGCATCATTAATGGTAGGATCTTAAAAATATCTTAGATGAATTAGAGATTTAATTTAAATATAAATGTTAATTAAAATATAAGATATCATATCGTATAATAATAAAAAATGTTTAAGAGATGGTGACGTGACAGTTTCTGAGCAGTGTTGAAATAAATATTTGTGATAAAGAAAAAATTTGGAAAAAGTTGAAATAAACAAGTTTAAATTAATTGTGTTTTATGTTATATATGCAATAATTGTATTTCATATATATTTTTAAATTTTTTATTTTGCAATAGTTATTATGTTTTTAATAATTAAAATTATTAATTGATATTTTTATTCTAATATACACAACTTAATAACCTACCAATATTTCTACATAAAACAAAAAACAAAAATACAAATCTTAAACTTTACACTTTTCAAATTTATTACTAAATTAATCATATCATACACACATTAACGTCCTACAATTGAAGGATGCTCTTAGTGAAGGGAAGTTGAAGTGGCCTCGTGTTTATCGGTGAGACAGTTTCGGTTTACTGTTAAATTATACGGTTTTTGGTTATTAAATTAATTTCCGGTTTAAGCTGTATAACGCTGACGCACACTCTCTACTTGACTCGAATGAGATGAACGAGAGTAGTAAGTAATACGTAGAAAAGAATCTCTCACCGACGACAAACGAAGACGACGAAGACCCCGTACGCTACATTTTACACTTCTCTCTCTTTCTTTCTCTTTGTCACACACTTCACTCACCTCTCACACAATTTCAGTTGCGCTTCTACAGGACTCACATTGCTTGACCTCACCTGTGTGAACACAAAGAGAAAAAAAAAAACATTTGATCCAACGAAAATTTTGAAATTTCTTTTATTTCTCCTCCCAGGTAACTTTTGTTGTTTGTTAATTTCTTCTCCATGGAAAAAGTTCACTCTTTTTTTTTTTGGGTTTCATCTGTTTGTCATTTATTGTTCAAGGGTTTCATTCATTTTCCTGATTTGATTTTGTTTTTCTTATGCTTGAACAATTGATCTTTGGTGAAGATAATATGAGAAATATGGAGTCCTGATGCAAAAAGATTGTCTGTTTTTGTTTATTTTTCTGGGTGCAGTGATGAAATCTCAAAACCCAGATAAGAAAACCCTAAGAGGAGCATTTAGTCAGGAATCTAGTCTAGTGGGTTCAGGTTCTGGAGATTTGGTTGTGGATGGTTTGAAATGCGATGGGAAAGGTCCGGTTAAGGAGGCGTTAATGGAAGAGGAAGACGAAGGTGGTGATAAAGTGAGGAAGATTGAAGTCTCTGGAGGGAATATATCACTTGTTGTTGATTTTAGTGGTTCTGTAACTGGTATTTGTTCTCAAAGTGTCTTTGAATCTAATGGTACGAATGAGAGACTGGTTAAAAGAAATGGGTACAGAGAGGATCAAACTCAGGAGTTTCTGGTTGGGAATCTTGTCTGGGTGATGAATAAATACAAGAAATGGTGGCCAGGAGAAGTGGTTGATTTCAAAGCTGATGCAAAGGAGAGTTTTATGGTTAGGTACATTGGTCAGAGCCATCTTGTTTCATGGTTTGCATCTTCGAAGTTGAAGCCTTTCAAGGAGAGCTTTGAGCAAGTATTGAATCAAAGAAACGATGTAGGGTTTTTCGCTGCTGTAGAGAAAGCTATGTCCTTGTTGAGCAACTCGTTAAAACTTGATATGACTTGTTCTTGCATTGCTGATGGCAATGCAATAGTTTCAGCCCAAAATGTACCAACTCGGAAGAACAAGCCTTTGATACTGCGTGAATTCGCTGTCGATCGGTTGGAACCCAAAGAGTTTGTCACTCAGCTGAAGGATATTGCGAAATGTGTGTTGAATGCTGGGGTACTTGAGTCTACAGTTATGCAGTGTCGGCTATCGGCTTTTTATACTCTCTTTGGGCACAAGCAGATACCAATGAGCCAGCTACACGAAAATGAGGGTAGGAAAAGTTTCACTGCTAAGATGAATGATAGTCAGTTCGCTGGTTCTCCATCAGTTGTTGCAGGTAATAGCAGAAAGAGGTTTCGGAAAGATTGGTTTAGGAAGTTTGTAAGTGAGGTTGACAATGTGTCTGCTAGAGACCATCTAGTAAATGTGCCTTCTTCTGATTTGATATCTAAACTCAAGCTGCTTGCTGTGGACCAGAATTGTTCACAAGAGACCGAAAAGTTTGGTCTCTTTGAGTGGTTCTTCTCCAAATTCAGAATTTCTGTGTTTCATGATGAAAATGCTTACAAGATGCAGTTGGCTAACATGGCTGGTTTCAAGGATTTGATGTTAGCTAGAAATGCAAATCGTGGTACTCATCAGAAAACTTCAAACTCGAAGAAAATAGGGAAGTCAAAGATCGAGCTTTTCAGTGGTGTTTCAGTTGCTGATACTGAGAAGAAGACCTTCGAGTCGCAGATATCAGAGAAGTTAGAGGTCGTTTCTCTTAATTGTGCTTCAACTCCAGATAATGAGCACCAGGCCTCAAAGACGAAGAATTCAGGGAAGACAAAGATCAATCATATCATTGGTCACTCAGATTTGTCTAGTTCTGTTGTTAATGAGCCGTTTTCGAAAGATTTCCAAGATACACCATTGGTTCAATTTCCAGACGGGAAAGCTACTACAGGAGACACACTCAGCCGACCCGCTGCTACACTTGTACCTGACCTGAACAGCGGAGGTAATGCTTTAGGTAATGCAGAATATGAGCATTTGCAAAGACCTGAGATGTTAATGCCGCCCAATGTCTACCCACAAGAGGAGAAGACACCAAGATCTATGATCCTCAACTTTCAGGTGACAGCTCCGTGTTCAACTCATGGAGTCTCAGGAACTCAGTTTGTTTCTAGTCTGCCAGATTCAGAAAGATTCTTTACGAGTGCAGACCTTTTCACTGGTTCAGTGAAGAAAAAGAGAGGAAGGAAGAGGAAGAATGCAGAAGAGCTTCCAATAGTTGCACATGCCAGTACTGGTATCCCTGATTTAAATGGAATGATTACAGAGCCAACTTCGGTTATGCCTCAAGTTGAGCCTCCACAGCGCAGAAGACGTCGGAGAAAAGAGGGGATACCTAATGGAGTAACTAGAGGAATCACAATCCTCTTCTTAAAATTTTCCTCCCAAGTGTCAATGCCTTCAAGAGACGACCTAACCTCGACATTTTCTGCGTTTGGTCCTTTGGATTCTTCTGAAACACACGTTTCAGAAGGACTTAATGGTGCACAGGTTGCCTTTGTGAGTAGTGCCGATGCGATAGAAGCAGTTAAAAGCTTAGAGAAAGCTAACCCATATGGTGAAACCTTATTGAGTTTCAAGTTACAGCAGAAATTGATAACCGTTCAAAGAAACATAGCCCCGCGAATGCCGGTAATCTCACATGTTAGTCCCATACCGAAACCGAACAGTATACCGACGAGTGTGGAGTCAATGAGGCAGAATCTGTTGATGATGACAGCGATGCTGGAGAATTCCGGGGATAGTTTATCAAGAGAGACTAAGGCAAAGCTGAAAAGCGAGATCACGGGGCTTTTGGAAAAGGTTAGTTCTATGCCGAGCTCTTCTTCTTCCTGAACAATCCCTAACATACGTCAATGTGATTCTCTCAGGCTTTCTATTGTACCATGTGTTGTAACTTTTGTATCCCATCATATGAATTGGGTTCCTGTGTGTTTCAGTCTTTAGTTTGACGGTAGTTCTAGACTAAGATTAGATAATAGAAGATATTGGCAATATTCTAATAACTTCTTCAGCTTTTTCGTTGATAGCGTTTATAATCTCCACCCTTCAGCTCAGTTCTTGACTACTTGAATATTTTCCAACAAGAAACTGAAGTATTTCGTTTGTACATATAGATGATTACTTTCAATTTCTCTTGATCTCTCTCTAGAATATGTTCCATATAGAGAGAAATTGAATATCTTGAAAAGTTCCCTACTCTGTTCTACCTTATTCACTTCTCAATCAAATCAAAGTATTTAACATAGAAGTACAATAGTCGAAATGAACACTAAGTCCCTTAATCATTAGCCCGACTGCCCGAGTAGCATTGATTTCTCTATGATAGACAAAGACACAAATCGACGAGATAAAACAATAAAGAAGCTTTGAGGAGAACACATACATACTAATATACAAAAGGGAAGGCATTGTTATGAATGGGAAGATGGAACCAAAAACTGAAAAAAACTAAGGGTTGCATTTGAAGATAATTACAAAAAACCGAGGATAACGGTTCAATTGGGGTAAATGAGTGAAATGGTAAACTGGTCGGTTGATTAGTCTCACACTCTTATGGTCATAAGTTTGGTTCACGAGAGAAGACTATAATTTTCTTTTAGCAAAAAAAAGAGAAGGCTATGATTGTTCGATTGGGGTAAATACGTGCAAGTTGTAAATATAGGGGCTTTATGTAATAATGGTCAAATTGTGGTTCAGTTGGCGAGTCCATAGCATATACAGAATAACCGGAGGCTCTTTTTTTTTTTTTTTCTCATATTAATATCACATGTCATACAAGGTCAGAGCTACGGCCCACAACATTAAGATTTACAGGAAAAAGAAAGTTCCACTTGAGCCCAGCTAAGCACCATAAGAGAAGAAAACTAATCTTTGTCATGCTAGACCACCAAACCACGTGTCAATAAACTGGATATAACCAAGACACATGTCGATCACTTATCACAAGCATTCTGATGACCAACCTCCGCCGTTCAAACAAGGATTCCGGTGAAAGAATCTACTCCGACAAAGAAACAAGTATTGATTCTTGGGTTTTTTCACCGACAACTAGTGAATCGAACCTCCAAATGGAAAGAGAACAGCTTAAGGCACTGTTAATATGCTACCAGAAACATCTTCTTTTCTTCAACTTAATTTGCAATTTGTGTATTCATTCCTGCAATTCTCAAAAACTCAAAAGAAACAAGTCGGAATCAAGTATTTTTAAGCGATAAATCGCTAAAACATCTATATCCAACTTATCCCTGTTGAAATTTATTGAAAAAGATAAAAAACAAACACCGGATAAACTGTGTAGAGAATCCGATTTACGACTGTAACAACACGAGAGCTGGCTAACACCGCTTGAGAAAGCCGGACGCTACCAGACAAAAGTCGACCACCACCGCTGAGAAAGTAGAAGGTGTCGAACAAGAAACCCAACTAAATTGGGACAGTGAAAACCAGAAAAAAACTCTGGCCGACGAAAACATGTCACAAAGCCATCTCCCTCTCTGAAAGGTTTTTAGAGAGAGAAGAGAGAGAGAGTCTTAATAACCGGAGGCTCTAACGGTTTGATTTAGGCAAATGCATTTAAAATCTAAAATTATAAAATATAGAGAGTTATATGTAAATTATGTCCGGTTCGTTTAGGGTAAATTTGTGAAAGTTAGCAAGTATAAGGGCCTATATATAAATTGTTATAGTCGGTGAGTCCGTCTATTACTATTTCACAGTAAACCCTGAACTGAACCCTTTCCTCAGAAATTCAAAATCAATTTCATCGGTGACACTTGGGTGCTTTTAACTCCTCCCACTCACTAACACTGCCGTGATTCTCGGATTATGCGCTAGTTCGATTTCGCCATGGTTTCTTCAAGAGATGTCCATGAGATTGTCTCCAAGCTCTCGTCGGACAAAGCCAAGACTCGCGAAGTAAACTTTTTCAGTTACCCCTTTTAATCGTTTGTTTTGGGTTCTATTGGGAAAAGGGCTGAGAAATTGAGGTTTTTTGGTATTCGTTGTGGGTTGTCACAACGATCTTTAGCGTTTCCTTATACTGCAATACGGCTCAGTTTCTATGAAAGTCTCGTTTGGGCTGAGATACTTATTCTGTTGTGTGTAACATCTGAGAACGGACAATTCAGTTTTGTTTGCCACCATACTTGTTGCTTCTTTGATGGTCTCTAATGGGCTTTTAGTTCATCGTTTTCTTTATTGAGACACACACTGCCAGTGTCGATTCAAAGTGTTGATAACAGTTGCGTGTCTCCAACAATTAAGCCATGAACTGTACCATGAATAGTCAACTAGACTCTATCAAATTTATGAATCTTGTATCTATCCCTAAGTAATGCTGTGCAACTAGGTCTTTATGTTGATCTATAAATAATTCCATTTCAAGGTTGCTCATGTTGATGGATTTCTTACATAATCTGTATATCCAGGATGGTGTCAAGTTATTGAATACATGGCTCGAAGGGGAAAGGTCAATTACCTTTTGTAGATTTCTTTCACAAAACACAGCTAAGCTAAAGTTGGACGAGATTCCAAATGGTAGGTAGTGATTATTCCTTCTGCAATTTTGATGCTACTATACAGTGCACCAAGCTTTGAAGTGAACCCAGAAACTTACTTCTCTTGCAGCTGAAACGTGGCCCTTTTTGGTTAAACTTCTCCTTCAATGTGTCTCAATGGAGGTGTCAGGTAGTAAGAGACGTTTGCCCAAGCCAACTTTCGCAAAGACGCTTCGAGTTGTTATTCAGAGAACAGAAGAAACTAGGTTTCCTGGTGAGAAATAGAGCAATATTTTTTGGTGAATTAAATTCATAGTAACATGCTTTTGAATTTCTCCTGAAATTACTTTATGCTTGCAAAGATGCTTCATGATGTGATTCGAACACAATAGTATCAAGTCTCTTGGTTAGACACGTTGTAATATGTTGATGTTCATCTTATTAATATTCCATGTGCTGGTCTATTCTGCATATTAGTTGTTTTCTCGCAAAAACTTTGACAGTACATTTTCTCTAACAAAGGATTCATGTATATGTAATTACTTTGTTTTAATGTCGCAGGTGTACATTGTCCTTTGCTATCTATGGCTAAAACCCTCTTTACACATGTACATGATACCTTGAGCAACACACCAAGCTTTCAGTCTGAGTATGGTACCATACTCCGCCATCTTTTGGAAATTAGTGATTATCGTTTCCAAATGAGGAAGCGTACATATTCCAGTAAGTTCTCTTCGAATCGATATATGTCAATTGTCTCATCTTGTCACGGATTTGGAGTGTATGGTGGTATGGTAGTTTTGGGTATCCGTTAATATAATGTTTCTGCAAGGTTTGGTGCTGCTATACATGGAAAGAGTTGAGGCAGGATTTTGCGAGAAAAACACTGGTCAACATAGCCAGAAGGAGGAAGCTTTTCGCCATATTCTTACGCTTCAGTCACTTTTAGAGAACCTCCCTGGAGATTTTCCTGATGACCTTCGAGAAGAAATTGTGAACGGCATCATTCATATTTTCTCTTTTGTAAGGTCTGATTTTTTTCTGTCAGTCAGCCTCTCATTTCCCTCCTTTGCAAACAATAGAATACTAATTTCTTTTAACTCTTCCAGAGATGAGGGAAAGCTTTCACGCAAGCTTATTGAATGTGTAAATACCTTCTTGCTGAAGGATGGTCCTAATTTAGGCTCTTTGTTATTGGAAATTCATAATGCGGTTGAAAAATTTGTATTCCGTTGCTGGTTAACAACCCATGATAAGAACCTCAAGGTGTTTTGTTTCTCTTCTTTTTTTTTTTTTTGGTGTTAGCCCTTTGTCAAACACCCGATTTTTTTTCATTATACAGTTTCATGGTCTTAGCTATGTGCTCTTTCTTCTTGTTCTGCCTTGTAGGAGATACTTGTTTTTTATGGAAGGCTACAGCTAAATTTGACAAGGGGTGCTAGTCAATCTAGTTCTCTGGTGGAACAACTTTTTGACGTGGTTACTCGTGAATTGGATCTGGGTAGTTCATTAAGTTCTGCAGCATGGTACATCATTTTTGAGTTTTCTCTTCCGAGCGATCACGTCTTTAGATTCTATACATCTCGGGAGATTATGGTCTAATTATTTTTTTTTATAGGGGGGATTCAACCAAGGATGATAAGTTAGGGGCATTGAGCACCTATCAAACTAGCTTGATTGAGCTGGCTGCACATGTGTTCTACCAGGTACCTGTTCTATATGCAAATTACTTAGTTCTTTGAGTAGCTTTACATGTCTCACGACAGAATTCCAACTCAACCGGCCATTTTTTATTTATTTTCAGCAGTGTCTGCATTTTTTTCCATCTACCTTCACCCCCTTTTGAATTGATTCGATCTATTATATCTGAAGCATTTGATCTCTACAGCGATTTTTGATCTGTATACTCTGAGAATCTATATCAATACAGTCAATTGAATCCTATCATAGAAATGTGTTTTTGCTCACATACTTGTGTATCCTTGAATATGTGTTTGTGTGTAGAGTGAATGGGTTAGATAAAGAGTGCTGACATTTAGAACTTTGGCAGGCATGTGTCAAAACATCTCGACCATCAGTATCGGAGAAACGAGCTCGGAGGCAACCTGTTGCATTGCGGCTATTGGAGGCACTAACTGAAGGAAAATGGCTATGGTATGTTTCTGATGTGTGCATTTGCTAGACGATATCCAATCTGCTGATGTCTTCTTTGCGAGAGTTTTTTTCTAGATACCTTTGTAGTCATATCATAAGAATGCTTTTGATGAGTGTACGCCATTTGTTTGTAAGTTATACATACTTATTCGAATTCGTGATGCTGGTTTTTAAATTTCAAGTGTAGCATATCCCTTAAGAAATATCTGGATTATTTCTGTCAGTCTAGATGCTGTCCTTGCACTAATTATAGTTATTTTGATACCTATTTTCATTAGAAACTTTATTTATATGTATACATAGACTGAAGCATATAAGCTTTGCCCAGGTGTGCTGCTTTTGGTTGTCTAGTTCGGACTTATTGTACCCGCATCAATAAGGATCTCCTTATTTACTGGTTTGAA